CAGTTTACAAAAGCACGAATCCACTTTACTTAAAGCATTGACAAAATCCACTTGACTTAAATACTTTAATCTCGTCTTTCAGATGGCAGTAGTTCAAGGTTTACCCACATTATTCTACTTTATTTTTGTTACTACAAGTGTCTGGGCTGCAGGTAAGATTACGTTTATTCTAATTTCACATGTTGTTACATCCTACCCAGATACTAAGATCTGGATACGGACTTATCATGAATAAATGTAAATATAATGGAGAATGAGTAAATATCGTATAATTAGGTTTAAAATCAATTTAAGGACAAGTGGTAAAAATATATGGTCCCTACTCGAACAAAGTTTATATTCAGCATACYTTCAAAAATATWGAACGAGTCTAGTAGCTGGMTTTGATTTCCAACTAAAAGAGTTCAAGGTTTACCCACATTACACATTATTTCTGTTACTACAGGTGTCTGGGCTGCAGGTAAGATTAAGTTTATTCTAATTTGCCATGACCTTACATCCTATGGTTTTGACAACTTTATTCATTGATAGGCAAAAATTAATTATATCAATAACAATATAATAACGATACGACAACATCAAAAGTACTTAATTATTTGAGCGAAACTTTGACTGATTATTTTCCATAGTAGAAGCAACAACAGATTCTAATAAACAAACAAAACATACTTTTAATATATTCCTTGAAGTTACGATAGCAAAAAGACACGATCATTTGTGTTCCTTAAAGGCATATCGATTCATCTTCGACATGGATCAAACCTTGACTTACCCAAACTCAATCTCGTTCAATCCTCTGCGTTTATATTTAGATTTAAAAAACTACTTCTGTTCATTTTAATTTTCTTAATCTACATTTTTACACAAGAAAGTGTTCACAAACGTTAAGCTGAAGCTCTTAAGACCTGCGTAAAACTTGAAAACAATCTTAAAAATTAGGTCGAGCAAGCATCAGGCTTGGTTTAATTGTGACTACTTTTTCCAGCAAAATAAAAAAAGATTTTATTGCGATTTTTAAGAATCTAAAGCTAAAAATTTAAATGAGATGGTTTACTTTACTACTTTCAAGATCTAGGACATCTTTTTGTTCACCGAGGTTTCGATATGCGAAAATAAAAKAAAGAAACTCTATTGAAGAAGAAGCTGATGACAAGCATTTGAATTGAAGAACAATGGTATCTTTCGATTTTACCTATTCGTCACGAAATTCATTCATCTCAGATTTCGAAATAAGAACACATCTTATAGTTTAAAAAGTTATAGATTTTTCTACTTAAAAAAAGTACAGTTTTGTCTTGAGCAAAGAAGTTTATGTATTGAGACTTGCTCCTTTTCTGGCACTATCTTCGAAGGAGGTAGCATTTTTTGGACTAAAAAGCAGAATGTTCTAGCATTTAGAAGGACGTGTTTCTGCGTTCTCAGCTCGCAAAGAAAAACAAAGGTCCTCAAGTTCTATTTGTGTGACTTCATTTCGTTTTGAACACCACTCTCAAATCCCCCGTTGAGCTTATTT